CTGGCGAGATCCGCCTCGAGGCGGGCCCTCTCCCTAACGTGGGCCTTGCTCTCGGCCACGAGGAGTCTGCCCGCCTCGATTATGGAGCGCACGACCGCTACCAGGGCCTCCTGTTGAGGGCCCCCGGCCACCCTGGACGTCTGAAGCAAGCAATCGGCCGTGCCGATTGCCTCCTCAATCCGGTCGACGGGGTTGCCGGTTTTGCCTCGCAGCTCATCGAGGCCAGCACCCCCACCCCCGCTCCCCACATCAGTGGTCGACCTCTCGGTCGCGACCCCCTCCTGTCTTCTCCGTCTCAGACCCTCATCATCTCGCTTGACCCAGCGCCGCGGACTGGACCGCCACCTTCCTTTGGGCCACCCTGATTTTGGGGAGTCGGCCTCCGCCGCGAGCGCCTCTGCGGCTTGTGCCGACTTTGGGAGCCGTGGCTTCATCGCTCGAGGCCGACCCTTCTGGTGCTGGTGAGACCATAGGGGTACTCGCTCCGCTCATCTCCGTGGCAGTGTCGGTGTTCGACACTACCTCCAGGTTTTTCGCGTCCTACGCGATAACGACTCATCCCCTTGCCAGGCATAGAGCATTTTTATAGAGGTTTACGTCCTCGCGGATCCGAAGATCCACCGGTCCTGTCCATTCTGGATTACGGCTGGGCCGGACGGGGTCTGCACCAGACCGGGTCCGTCCGCCCCAGGATTTTTATAGAGGTTGCCTTCCTCGTAGCCCTCGAAGAGCCGTCATTCCTGACTGTTGCCAGTCAGGGTTACGACATGGCCGGTGGTCTGCGTCAGACCAGTGTCCCCCACCTCTGGACAGAGCCAGCGGCAGTGGACCCGTCCGCCCCCAGCCCGCTCTCCCCTATGCCCTCTGCTAAACAGAGGGACACGCGGAAAGCAGCCCTCCGAACAGCCCTTGACGGGCCGTTCCCACCTCGGCCGGAATTGGCCGCAGGCGGCAGCGCCTCCCCCACCTAGGGAGAGAGGCGCTGCCGTCTCCGTTGCCCAGGGTGCACCACATGCAGGTTCCGGACCACGCACCCCACATTGTAGGGACCTAAGGTCATCGGATAATTTAAAACTAAAAATGCCGCAACATTCCACCCAAATCTTTTACTGTGCAAGCAGTAAGACTTTGGAACAAGTTGCCTTTGAAAATTTGACAATCCGACGACCCGCTTTCAAAAAGCTAGTAAAGGATTTTTATCTGACATTTTAAATACTGTTGGTTTCAATATATATAGTATATATTTTGGATATATATATATATATGTTGTGTCTATGTCTATTAAATATGTATATATATATATAAATATGTATAAATTTTGTTTATGTATGTGTGTATGTATGTGTATTTATCTATGTGTAATGTGAACAGATGTTTATTTGTGTATGAATGCTTTTGTTTATATTTTAAATATTCAAGTGATAATGCGTTAAGTGTATGTAAACTACCCAACTTTTAAATAACTAATATCCGTATCAAGGATGTCTGGAAGAGATCGCCGATTGTTACGTCTATATATTTGTAATGTCTTATGTGTTAACTGTAAACAATAAAGATATAAATAAATAAATAAATAGTTTGGCCAGCCGCGAGGGAGCGGCGTCCGCGTGTGCCGGACGTCGCCTAAAGAAAGGAAGATTTGAGACGGAGCCCGCAACAGGAGCGGGCCGGCGTTGGGAGGGGTCCAGAAGGCGATAACTACCTGGACCCCCCCCCCTAAAATAGAAGCGCAAAGAGGGCACACCGTGTGGTTTTAGTCGGTTTGAGTCCGACATACCGCCCCGCCGAATAGAGAACCCCGGCGAGGTGACGGTCCGAGGGGATTTCCACACGTATAAAAAAAAAAAGGGTTTGTGTCAATTTTTCCTTCTCTCTGCAGTGCGTAGTTTGCTTCCTTAGTCGCCTCTTACGACACCCACGGGATGAATAGGGGTGGTGACACTCTGTATTCTTAGTCCGCACCACACGGATTGCGGTTTGCGGCGGTTTAGTTCATAGTGTATCAATATATTCTTTCCAGTTGCAATGTCTATCCAACGTTATCCCCAAAAATATAGCACTTTCAACCTCTTCTATAGCGTCATTTGCATACCTTATTTTTAATTGGTGACGTTTGCTGTTGTATGTTTGGAACTGTATAAGTTTAGTTTTACCGATATTAACATGTAAATTGTTGTCTTTTAACCATTCTTTTATTTTGTTTAACGTGTCATGAATCTCTTTTTCGTATTAGGTGATATTGTTATCGATGAGTTCAATACTAAGGGTTGTATCATCGGCATAAAGAATGCATGAATATAGGGTTACATGGGGCAAATCATTAACGTATAGCAAAAACAATAGGGGCCCTAAGTACTGCCCTGGGGAACGCCACAGGAATTTTGGCGATAGGCGGATCTATACACTTTTCTGATAGTATATGTCTAGATATCTCCACGCATTGTTGGCGATTATGTAGGTAAGTCTCTAACCAGTGTAACGCATTTCCCCTAATACCATAACGGTTTAATTTATAGAGAAGCAGTTTGTGATCTAAGAAGTCAAACGCTTTTGACATATCGAGAAATATTGATGATATTTGCCTTTTCTCATTAAGACTAGTGGTTAATCATTTTCACAAGAGAAAAACATGCATGAGTTGTTGACTTATTTTTTCTGAAACCGTACTGTTCTTCTCTTAGAATTGAATTCTTTCAAAAATCTTAGAAATCATGGGTATCAGAGTAATCGGACGGTAGTTATTCATGTCAGTTTTATCTCCTTTTTTGTGTAATGGTTTGACTATAAAAATTTTTAGTCGGTTGGGAATTAAACCTTGAAATAGTGATAGATTAATAATATAGGTAATTGGATGAGATATATATTTAGAATAACGTTTAAGAATGTTGGTATGAATGTTGTCATACCCGGTGGAGTTAGTTAAATTTAAAGAATTAATAATTGATTGATTGGAGTACTTCCCTGATGCAGCTGAATGGCAGACCATTGAATGCTTTTCCGATGTCCAACGACACCGCTAACAGCACGCCACCACGGCTCACCACCTCTTCGGTCACGGATCTGAGGCGCAACACAGCGTTGATCGTCGCACGCGCGCCTCTGGCGTCCCCATAGGATATTGGCGGACAGAGCCATACGCGGATACCGCACGGTGTCCACCGAGGCGGCTTACGCCTTGGCCGGAACACCCCCGTGGGATTTGGAGGCGGAAGTGCTCGCCGAAGTCTATCGGCGAGTGGCTGATTTCGCCCTCCGCCCGAAGACGTGCGCGAGTGCCGCGAGACCGCTCGCCGAGCCACCATGGTCAGATGGTCGTTCCGGCTGGAGACTCCACACGCTGGCTTCGCCGCCGTGGAGGCTCTCCAGCCGGTCATCGCCGAGTGGGCAGGGCGGCATGGGACCCTTTCCTTCCGGCTGACGCAGGTGCTTTCCGGGCACGGTTGCTTCGGAAAGTACCTGCACTTGGTCGCCAGGAGGGAATTGAGTCCCGCCTGCCACCACTGCGACTGCAGTGAGGACTCGGCCCAGCACACACTGGCGGTCTGCCCAGCATGGGCGACGCAGCGCCAGGCCCTCACTGCAGTCATCGGAGTGGATCTCTCGCTACCGGCCGTAGTACGCTCCATGGCCGGTAGCGACAGTTGTTTTACTGCGGTTGCAAAATTCTGCGAGGAAGTAATCTCGCAGAAGGAGGCGGCGGAGAAGGCCCGGTATAGGCTGCGCGGAGGACCGCCAACTCTTGGGACCACCAGTAAACCTCCTTACTTGGAGGTCAACGACCTCGGATGCGGGGCATGGCCGCATCGTAGATCTGCGTTAACGCATCGCGAAAGCGACCAGCCCCCATGTCGACCTCCTCGGCCGGGGGCAGCCATGAGTGAATGATGGCTGCCTCCTCTAGTAGGTTCACCGCCGTTGGTAAAAACGCGTGGAGCTCTCGCAAGAGAAACGTTGTTACAGACCGCTGAAGATAAAAGTGAAGTACTTCCACGTAAAGTGCGATCTGAAATAGTCGTTCCGAAAAATGACCTGAAAGAAATCGCCAACCAGATACCTAAAATGGAGGGTAGTTTGAAAGTCGAACTTACCGGTGCAGTATCAGTTCATTCGAAGAAAAGTACCACTAGATCATCTTTGTCGGCACGTAGGAAACAACTGGAGCTGGAAGCAGCTGAAGCATAGGCTGAAATTGAGAAGAAACTGATAGAAAAAAGGTTAGAAGCTCAACTCGCTGCGCTTGAAGGTGGGTCATCGCGAAAATCTCAATTCAGTAGAAGAGATTCCCTTGCCGAGGCCTCAAATAAAGTGGAAGAATGGCTGAACAAAAGTGGGTCACGGCAACAACGCGCGGCATCTCCGCCGCCGGCGCCCCCTGCTGTCACCTGCACGTCGGATCTTCAGCCCCTGGCCGAAGCAATGAAGCGCTTCGCCACAGTCACCTCCAGCGTACATTCAAAACTGCTGTCCAGACTAGCCACGCCAAAGAACTTACCTTTATTTTTTGGAGATCCGTTTGAGTGGCTACAATATAAAACTACCTACATAGAAACCACTAAGCTATGTAATTTTAGTGATAGTGAAAATATTTCACGACTTTCTAAAAGTTTACGTGGTGAAGCAAGAGAGGTAGTCTTGTCACTGCTTATATGTAGCACAATACCAAGCATCATTATAGAAGCGCTATTACTTCGATTTGGAAGACTAGAGCTCATCATGCACAAAATTGCTACACACCTAAGGAAGCTGCAACCCTTACCGCAGAATTACCACACTGATCTGTTGGCATTTGCTGTTAAAATAATAAATTACGTCGTAGCCGAGTCAATCCAGCAAACCGATTACCTGAGAAGTCCCGAATTATTGAATGGGTGGATTATTTATATGAGCACCAAGATGACACCAAAGCTAAGTTACAAATATTAGCAGATTTTCTACACAATGAAGCTACGAAAATAGCCTCCGCTGGAATAAGCTACATACATAGCCAAGCAGACCACAGAATGCACAAGAAAACTGAAGAGCGCAGGACTCAAACTCATTCTGTGCTCCATACCAAAGAATCCAGTGCTAAGTGTACAGCTTGTCGAACTGCCATCCATCCGCTTTCGACCTGTACTAAATTTAAACGAGCGTTACGGAAAGACAAGTGGCGCATCGTTAAAGTGAATAAACTATGTCACAACTGCCTGCTACCCGGTCACAGTAAAGAAGCCTGTTCTGCTTCGACGTGCGATGTGGACGAGTGCGGCATGGCCCATCATCGCTTACTTCATTGGCCTGCCAAGTAAACCGCATCACCCAGTGACGTCACAAACGAGGACGTTATCCTCGTATATCCTAGGTATATCCACAATAAAAATGCACGCGCCGACTAGCGGAACGGTCACAAACACCACCATAATGTCGCCGAACGCGAGTATTATGTTGAAAACAGTGCGTGTAAAAATTCACGGACCTAACGACTCCATAACTACGCACGCCTTATTGGACGATGGAGCTACTGTGTCGTTGGTGTCGGCTGATCTCGCGAACTATACTAACCTTGAAGGTCAGCCCGAAACTATACGAATTCGCGGCGCGTTTGACTCTAATACAGTGTGCCAAAGTGAAATAGTGAACTATAAACTCTCAAATAATGACAATAAAATGTACGATATGCGTGCGCGAAAGATTAGTGAACTGAACCTACCAAAGCAGTATTTATCTAAAGTTAACGTCGACGCGTACGAACATTTACGCCATTTTAAACATCATTTGTGTAGCAATGATGTAAAACCTAATTTAATCATCGGACAAGATAATTATCAATTTTTAGTTTCTCTAAAGACTGTCTATCGTGGGAAGAACGAACCGTGTGCAACCCTTACACCGCTCGGGTGATGTCTGCACGGAATCGTACCCGCTACCGCTAGTACCTCAACCCGCCATCAATTATCTCTAACTGAGCCAGCGTGTGTTATGACACTGGCGGGCCCAAAGATATGTTTCTTCGAGTAAAAATAAGTAAAGAAGACCAGCACGCTTTCGTTTTTAATGGCGAGAAAATAATAAATGCGACGTTGATACTTACGTCATGACCTCATTAATATTTGACGCAAACTGCTCACCATTTATAGCGCAATATATTAAAAATAAAAATGCACTGAGGTTCAAAAATGAGATGCCAGAAGCCACTGAAGCGATCCTGAATTACCATTACATGGACGATTACATAGAATCGGTAGACGACGAACAAACTGCTTCAAAATTAATAAAAGAAGTTTCAAAAATACATAGTGAAGGTGGATTTGAGATAAGGAATTGGATATCTAATGAACCAGAAGTTTTAGAGTGCACGCCGAAAGAAACCTTAAGTGATACGGCCATAAGAATAAAAACTGGCTGTGACGATTTACCCGAACGTACTCTCGGTCTACTTTGGTTCCCGTTAAGCGATACGTTTTGTTTTGATTTATCATTAAAGCGCATACCTGAAGAAATTCTTTATTTACAGATAGTACCTACCAGGAGAGAATTACTGCGCATAGTTATGTCTATCTTTGACATTCTTGGCTTCCTCGCGCCATTTACAGTTAAAGCAAAAATAGTGTTGCAAAATATATGGAAATCAAATATAAAATGGGACGATAGAATACCTGAAAAAGAAAACAAAATTATTCAGGACTGGTTTATTGAATTACGTCATCTTCAACGCTTACAAGATATGCCCGAAGCAGTGCGGCCGCAATGATAACTCGCGGGTGAAAGAGACCAAAATAGAACTACATGTGTTCTGCGACGCCTCACCTGCCGCATACGCCGCTGTCGTTTATTACCGAGAAGTCACGAAAACAAATGTTGTATGCATTTCATTCATCGCATGCAAGTGCTGAGCCTCGCCAATTCACAAATATATTACAGTACCTAAGCTGGAGTTACAAGCTGCAGTCATTGCGTGCCGGCTCGCTGAAACAATAACGCACGAAAGCCGGTTAGTTATTGAAAAACGATACTTCTGGACGGATTCGTTAATAGTATTGCATCAAATTAAGAACGACACTCGCAACTATAAAGTTTTTGTTGCCAATAGATTGGGAGAAATCGACGAGTTATCTTAATCGCATGAATGGAATTATATACCTACCGATATGAACATAGCCGATAAAGCTACTAAATTAAATACTTACGAATTGACGGACGATTCTGAATGGCTCTGGGGTCCACGATTCCTGTACACGACGCCCGATGATTGGCCGAGGTACAAGTATGAATATGAAAACAAAAAAAATTATGAATAATTATTACAAGTTAATACACTATATAGTAGTGAACGTATTGACTTACCTGTTCGGGATGCAACGAAGTTTTCTTCCTGGCTCCGATTAGTAAGGAGTACGGCGAACGTATTATTATTTATAAAGAAGTGTAGACAGCCTGGGAAAGCTGAAATCGATACTGAAATAATGCGTAGTGCTGAAAACTTAATATTGCGTCACTGCAATCATTCGCCGAAGAACTTCACTTGCTGAAAAATGAAGGGCCCATCGAACCTAACAGTAGATTACGTACCTTAACGCCTCGACTCGATCGACTCGACTCGAGGCGATGTTTGAGGTTGACCACAACACGAAGAACCCAATATTATTGGACGGCCGTCATCAGACTGCGAAATTAATTGTGAAATATTATCACGAGATGGCCGCGCATGGAAGCAATGAAATGGTACTTAATGAAATACGTCAAAAATATTGGTTGATTCACTTGCGTCCTACTGTGCGTACAATGGCCGCGTGCTGCTTGGTCGGTAGAATAAGGAAAGCCAAACCTTCAACCCCAAGACTGGGAGATCTTCCAGTGGCAAGACTTGCACACCATTAACGAGCCTTTACCTTTTGTGGAATAGACCTGTTCGGCCCGATGGAGGTTGTCGTCGGTCACCGTCGAGAAAAAAGACTGGTATACTGACCAGACCCGCTACTCGCCTAGCTGTACTACCTACTTCGAGTGGTGATTGTCCTTAACAGAGAATGGGGCGGAGAGTGTAGACGACGCGTAAGTGACACCCCGGGGTGTTGCAAACGCACTTATTTATACGTATATATCCTTATTTGTATGTAAAATATTATAATATTTTACATACAAATAAGGATATATATTAGGGTGTCCCGAATTTTTTTTATTCTTATTTTAGCTACTTAAGACCTCTCAAAAGTTGCGCTGTTAGACGTAGATTAGCGTAAAAATAATTCAACAAATATTTAAAAATATCCTTAGGGCTCTACCAGCATTTTTATTTACTAAAAAATTCGCAAAAACAACCTTGTAGTCAATGTCGTATATTCTAAGTTTTATGAATCAATCCTGTTTTGTCTTGTAATTTTATCAATAAGAAAAGCCTCAGCTATGATTTGCAAGTATCGACAGGTTGTTTTAGCGATCAATCGGTTTGGATCGGACTTGCAAAATTCCTACAAAATTCATGTTTTGACTTGATTTTCGTACGTGCGCTACTTCTACAACAAGACAGTTCGTCTCATTTCTATTTTGATTTTACTCTTGTAAGGAGTTGTTCTATTCTTCTTTGAAAGAAAAACGTAATTTGCGTTACTTAATCATAAAAATGTGTTCAAGGCGAAGTGAGACTACTTGTACTATATTGGGACCTTATAAAGAACTTGACGATCGCCAATTACCTGTTATAAAAGACGTTATTAAGTGCATTTTATTTACTAAAAGTGAATTAAAACTACAGAAAAACGGAAAAGATCCATCAAACACAGAAGTCTTTTCAATAGTTTCTGGAAAACTTAACACAATTTGGACCAAAGCTTCAATTCCCATCGTTTCTAACGTACGGGTTACTCAACTGCTAACCGCATATTTTAACAAATATTTATCACTAATAAGATATCCTAAAAGTAAGAGAAACAATAGCTATGACAACAAAGTTAAGTGCTTTTTGAAATCGTCAAATAAGCTTTTTGACATCGCTGCTTGTAAGTGCACTTCGTTTGAAAATTGTTCCTGCACTAAACCCAAGAAAGTTCCCATTTCTGAAAGAGATTTGTTACTGGACCAAAGAAATAATAGGAAAATGGCAATAAGCGGCGTAGACGCAAAAGAACCTGCAAGGCTTTTAAAGAAACATCAAAGACAAGAAAATTTGAAGCGGACAGAGCAAGCATGTTTTCCGAGTACTTCACAAACCGATACTGTACCGGTACGCGTGTTGCCGCCTCGTTCACAGTCGCTTTCAATAGAACCTTCTACTAAAAGTGACTTAAAGGAGTCTCCATCTAATTCATTTAGTCGGAACACTCTGACGCTGCCAACAGTAGCTAAGGTATGTGATCGATACGGACTATCAACGCGTTCGGCAGCTGCAGTCGCTTCAGCAGTCTTAGTTGACGTAGGAATGGTATCTTCCGAAGATCTAAACCTTGTGATTGATAAAAATAAGATTCACAGAGCTGTTTCAAAGTCACGTACCCAAGCCAGGAAAGACATCGATAAAATTATTATAAAGAGTATCTACTTCGATGGGCGAAAAGATAAAACTCTCAAGATCAATAAAATAGACAGCCGGTACCACCGAAAAGAAGTCTTAGAAGAACACATTTCAGTTCTTACAGAGCCGGGATCTATTTACTTGGGACATACGACCCCGAGTCGAGGTACTGCGAAAGGGATTGTCACTTCTATTATAGAATTGTTAGAAAATCAAGGATGGAACTTAGAAGAAGTAAGTTGTGTGGGTTGCGATGGCACTCCTACAAATACAGGTTGGAAAGGGGGTGTCATTAAATACCTGGAAGACTATTTGAAGAGACCGTTACAATGGTGTGTTTGTATGCTTCACACAAATGAATTACCGCTTCGCCATTTGTTTATGTCTCTAGATGGTAGCACATCTGGGCCGAAAGAATACTCAGGACCTATTGGAAAACAGCTAAATGTTTGTGAAAGTAAACCACTAGTGTCTTTTTGTGCAGTGGCTGGCAATTTGCTCGAATTACCTGATGACATTGTGAAGGAACTAAGTACGGATCAAAAGTATCTGTATGAAATGTGTCATGCTGTGACGACTGGTTCTTGTTCCCCTGAGTTAGCGAGCCGCCAACCTGGAAAAATGGCGCATTCAAGATGGCTAACTACTGCCAATCGCATACTCAGACTTTATGTAAGTACTGTTTCGCCATCAAATAATTTAAAGCTGCTTGTCAATTATGTGGTCAAAGTTTATGCTCCAGTTTGGTTCCTCATTAAGAAAAACTCATCATTCAAAGTTGGAGCCAATCATATTTTTCAAATGGTTACATACTCCCGATTTTTGCCTGATAAGCAAAGATCTATTGTGAATTCAGTGATTGAGAGAAACGCTTTTTTTGCTCACCCTGAAAACTTACTTGTTACCATGCTATTCGACGACAGAGAGCATATTCGAGAGCTTGCAGCTCGCAAAATATTAAAGGCAAGAGAAGCAGAAATAAGCAATACTCGCAGGGTATTTAAAGTACCAAAACTTAACTTCGATGCGCGATATTACATCGATTTGATATTTTGGCAAGAGTGTGAGATATCCGCTCCACCGATTTTGCGACAGATGTCCGACGACGAACTGAGAATTAAGGCTAAAGAACAAAGCTTCGATTTTATTGATTTGCCCTGTCATACACAATCAGTGGAAAGATGTGTAAAGCTAGTGACGGAGGCTTCTCTAAGTGTCACGGACGCTACAGCTCGGGATGGTTTAATCACAAACAGATTAAAATCTCGCGCGGAAATGCCTAATTTTGGCCTCAAGAACCAATTTCGTATTTGAAATAAGCACTAATTAAAAGTATTTAAACTTTACTGAACATTACCTTATGTCTTTGTAGTACCTATGAATTTGATTAAAACCTTTAAAACATTATTTTTGTATCATTTATAGTTTATGTTCGAAACCTCTAAAAATGGCAAATTTGAAAAACTTCTAGGATCGGTAGAGGCCTAAAGATGACAAATATTTAATTAAATTTTGTTATATTTGTAATCTATTCACAAAAACGCAACTTTTGATACCTCTTGCGTAGCCGTCGTTTAAAAAAAAAAATCCCATACATTGACGGGACACCCTAATATATATATATATATATATACATTTACGCGTCGTCTACATCTAGCATTATATAATTAATGCCTTCTGTAATGTCGACAAAGTTACAACTCAAAGAAAAAGATAGATTAACTAGAATCTCTAATTTCACGTAGACGTATGAACAGTGAGTTGGAAAACATGTTAAAAAACGATTGTTATTTATTATAGCAAATTACGGCCGGTAGCGAGAGATCTGCTCCGATGACTGCAGTGAGGGCCCGGCGCTGCGTTGCCCATGCGGGGCAGACCGCCAGCGTGTGCTGGGCCGAGTCCTCACTGCAGTCGCAGTGGTGGCAGGCGGGACTCGATTCCCTCCTAGCGACCGAGTACAGGTACTTTCCGAAGCAACCGTGCCCGGAAAGCACCTGTGTCAGCCGGAAGGAAAGGGTCCCGTGCAGCCGCCCTGCCCAATCGGCGATGACCGGCTGGAGAGCCTCCACGGCGGCGAAGCCAGCGCGTGGAGTCTCCAGCCGGAACGACCATCTGACCATGGCGGCTCGGCGAGCGGCCTCGCGCCACTCGCGCACGTCTTCGGGCGGAGGGCGTAATCCGCTCTCCGCCCGGAAGTCAGCCACTCGCCGATAAACTTCGGCGAGCACTTCCGCTTTCAA